CAGTGTGACACTTTGCATCGCTACTGTGTGTAGATACAGAGTAAGTTGGGTTTTTTTTGATGCATGGTATTTTTAGTCCTGTTAATGGTATCCTGTAGAGTGTAGCCACTTTTCAAGTACTTGGTAGCAATTTCAATGGTGATATAGTTCCAACTGAAGATGTATCGACTTTTGAAGTAGCATTCAACTCTGCTAGTGTTGCTGCTTCTCCACTTACTACGAACCTTAAGCAAATTTAGTGGTTTTTTTCCTAGCACCACATCTGCTTGAAACAGGAGATTGCACCAGGAGCACAGCTGCTGTTAAAGAAAGCAAGTGTTTAGTCTTTATAGTTGTATGGGAGTGCCTGGGAGAAGTTATCTGTATATCACCAGCTCAAGCTGGAAAGTTTTGAAAACAGATTTCGACATTTATTTGTTTGGTTTTTTAAAAATAACAAAACAAACCAAAACAACACCTCCCCTCCAAACAGTGGGGGTAAGAGGTCCAGTCAAGCTGAAGGAACTTGGTTTTGGCAGACCCTTCATAGGTGTCAGTCAAAATTTGTTATAGCTCTGTGCTATGGTAATTTTTGTGTATTGAAGCTTTAAGACATTGCATGCTCCAGAGAGGTCCAGCTGCCCTCACTTCAGCCTGTTGCTCACCTCATGGGAAAATGTGATTTAACTTGGGAAATTAAAGTAGTGGGAAGGAGACTGACCCTCCAGTCTGGAGACAGATCAGGCTGAGAGGTAGACCTGTTCCATGGCTGTAATTCCAAATAAAGCACCACAGCTGCTTTAGTCCCCACCAGATGAGACTGTGGTCTGCTGCTAAACAGTGTGCCTGGGCTCATCTTGTGAGTAGCAGGCTTAGAGGAAGGGAAAAGAGCATTTTAGCCTAGGGTTGGCTCTGCAGAGCTTTGCGTAGCTAGGTGTACTTATTTGGTACAGGTTTTGGCAGTGTCCAGTGTCCTGGCTGGGCTTCAGTTTCCCCTGTGCCCCTGGAAGGTAACAAAAATCTTCCTCTTTCTTCAGGGAATTGAGGGGCCAGGGGAAAGGAAATGATAGGACTGAAATATGCTGTGACCTAGGTAGGGTTGAAACAACATCTCCTGTTGTGAAGAAGTGGCTGTTGTGCAGGAGAAGATGCTTCTTTTTGCTGCTTTGGTCTGAAGAATTAATGAGCCCTGGTATCTTCCCCAGGAGGCCATCCCTGACTGTGTGTGTTCAGCAGTTGTGCAGTCGGCTCTTAGACCTCCAGTTATATCTGTGTTAGTGTGAGCAAAGCCCTCCTAAGGGCTGCGCATTCATGGAGCTCAGAAAAGGGATCCCTCTCCCTGCCAGTGGAGTGTGGTCAGGGTGGAAATGCAGCCCCTTTTGCAGCTCACAAGTTGGGAATTGGTCCTGTGGAGCATCTCCCTTATAAGGAACGGCTGAGGGAGCTGGGGCTCTTTAGTTTGCAGAAGAGGAGACTGAGGGGAGACCTCATTCATGTTTATAAATATTTAAAGGGTGAGTGTCACGAGGATGGAGCCAGGCTCTTCTCGGTGACAAACAATGATAGGACAAGGGGTAACGGACACAAGCTGGAACACAGGAGGTTCCACTTCAATTTGAGAAGAAACTTCTTCTCAGTGAGGGTAATGGAGCACTGGACCAGGTTGCCCAGAGAGGTTGTGGAGTCTCCTTCTCTGGAGACATTCAAAACCCGCCTGGACGCCTTCCTGTGCAACCTCATCTGGGTGTTCCTGCTCTGGCAGGGGGATTGGACTGGATGAGCTTTTGAGGTCCCTTCCAATCCCTAACGTTCTGTGATTCTGTGATTCTGTCTGTACATGCCAAAGGGACAATTTGGACTTAGCTTTTCAGCTCATGTCAGTTGACTTTAACCTGGAGGAGGTTACTGGAATTACCAGAAAACTCTGGTTACTGCTGTGCAGTAGGAAGCCCTCCGAGCACATCAACAAAATCACTCAGGTTTCTTTATTAAAGCCCATGCTTGTGCAGCAGCTCTGCAAAGTCTTTTACTTCCAGACTGATTCCTGGGGTGCTGCTTAGATGACCAAAACTGGCCACATCAGAGGTTTGCATGTACATTACACGTGGCTATGACACTGACTGGCTCTGACCTATAGAAGCTGCCTGTGCTTGTGCTAAATGTCCCTCTTACATATGGAAACTCACAGAAGCAGGGGCCAATGGTAAGTGCTGCGAGAGAAACAGCCAGGTTGGGTCCAGCAGTGTTTGTGGGCTGTGTTGTCTCTTTTCCTTCCCTAGTTTGGCATGACACTCTGCCTGATGTGTTTCTACTCCCTGTGAAGCCATAGCAGGGGGAGAAACTAAAAAGAGAGCCTCCTGTAAACCTGTGTTCAGTCTTATTTGGTCTGGCCAAGTGAAAACATAGCCACTTCTAGCAGTATCCAGATAATTGCAGAAGTTGCTGATTAAAATAAATGCTTTCTTTTAGCTGGCTTGATTTATTCAGCGATTATGTCTGATTTTTGTTTCAGTAGCTACAGGCGTGCTGATTTACTTGTGTCAGACTCTGCTTCCTTTTAGGATTTGTTTTTAAACTTATTTCTTTATAACTTAGGAGTACTCTTCTTCTTTCCAAATCAGAGTGCTGCACACCTGCTTGGCTTTTGTGTAACGGGTCCTTTCCCATCTCCTCCACCTCCTATTGATTTCCCTGACCTTCCTGAAGCCCAGAACAGGAAAGCTGCTGTGGTCCTTGGGGTACTGGCTGTGTGCTGTGGCTCACTGCACAGCTCCATGTGCTGGGAATATTTCTTTATTTTTAAGCTCAGACAGGAAAATAAACATGGACTAAGGAACCTGCTCCTGGGGAGATCTTATAGAATGCTGGGATCCTTCTTAATTCTTTATTCATTGCAGAAAATGAGAGCTTGCTGCAAGTTATTGGCAAGAAGGAAAGCAATTGCC